ATTATGTGTAGATATAACATTACATTTCACACTATTAGAGATTTTAAAATGCCCCTAATTGCCTAAACTGAATATTGTAGTGAGGTTTGCTCATGATTCTTTGAGGTATTAGGCAGGGGTTTTTTCAGTTTTGTCAAAGGTAAAAGTATGGAAACAATCTGGAAGTATCATCACAAACAGAGATTTAAGATTGAGAAATACCTGACATATTTGTGATAATCTTAGATGCCACTGCTATACTTGCTGTTTGAATAAAAAGGTGGAAGGCTAAAATGGAGAGTCTTTGGAAGGAAATGCTCAGAAGTAAGAAAACAAATTAAATTAGAAATAGAAAGAAATACAAAAGAAATAAATAGAAATAGTGGAGTGGAGCCCTTGAATATTAATCAAGCAAAGGAGAGCTGTGCAATCACATTCACCTGAATGCAGAATGCTAAATATATTGATACTATATTAGCAAACCATTGTACTAGTAGTTCACTCAAGGCAGATTTTGAAGTTTATCTAAGTATCAAAGATACAGGTACATGCCTGGTACAAAGGCATGCACATACTTAACGCTTTAAGGGGCACTCTCAGAGCAATCCTTTTGTTACTCTGGATAATAATAAAATTATATAGTAACAGCAAGCAATTGGGATCCATTAACTGCTGAAAATATGCACATTTTTGTGTCTTTATACTTATTTCATCTGTCCATACAGCCCTTTCTACATACAAAGCTTGTACTAATGCAACTATAATGGTACAGGAGGTAATTAGGTAAAAGATTTTGGGCACAGTTGAGCATGATCAAAAAAACAAGAGCAAACTGAAACACTCAGCAAGAATGAAAGGAACCAAAACAGAACATGCTGCAATGAAGTGATGGGGATACAAAGGAAGGAAAAATTGTTGTCCCTAACCAATCTTCCTCTGAATATGCCTATCCTTGGAAGCATACAGGAAAGAGTACAGAGCTCCAAGTGTTGGGAAAAAGGTGTATTCCTCCTTCTGCACATGCTCTTTAGGTAAGAGAGCAGGGAGATACCAACTAGACCCTCCAGAAAGTTAAAGCAGCCAAAACAGGAACCTCTACATAAGCTAAGAATATCCTGCAGTGCTGATTGTGCTTCCTCTACTGTGATTGCTCCCATCTTTGCCATTCCCCTTCCTTTTTCTGTATAATACCTCTCTTTGCTTATTTTCCCCAGCCTTTCTCAACACTACCAGATTTAATTCATTCCCTGCTCATAAAGACCATTCCACATTCCCCTGAAATTATATTTGTTACCAGCCTATTGTCCACCCTGTGCTCACACTATTTTCCCATAACCTAAATACTATTAGGTTACATACTCTGTACTACTGGACATTTAGTAATATTCATCTGGATAGTGCTTAATTACTATTAGGTCCTTAGTCATTACTACAACAAACATTTCAGTACAATAAGTGACACTGCACTAGTACAAACATTACAATCACTGCAACTGTAAAACAGCACAGCTGTAACCTCACCAGGCAACTGAAAAATTCTAATTACTTTTTTTTTTCTTTTCTGATTAAAATTGGTGGAAAAAGAACATCCCACAGAAATACTTCAGTGTTATCTTACACCGTAAAGCTTTGTCCTGGATGACTGTAAACAGATCATGAGGAACAGGAAATGTAGCTCTGTAGCAATTAATTCTGCTGACCAGCCTGCTTTTCTATCATCTAATAGGACATATAGTATTGACATAGTTAAAAAACACATGTCATCACCTGGATTTACCTAATTCAAATGATCACACTTATGGTTAGGTTAACTATGGTTCTCTAAAGCCAGTCTCCCTGGCTTCACAGCACATCATTATCCTTACCTGTTTTGCACTGTGTCCACGTGGTCTAACTTACTGAGCAAACAGCACTAACACTGTCTTCTAAAATTTAACATTCACTAAGAACTTTCCAAGGTACAGATTTCCTGGTGGCAAATATATTTATTAGCTAATCTGAAGACCCAGAAATTTTGTAGGAAAGTATATTTTAACCAAGCAGGATTTATTTTCTGTTGAATACTAAAGAATAGGTTCCATGTAAGGACACAGAACTGATTACAGAGCAATAAATACCTAAGCATGGTTTTGACCAGCATATTGGAAGACAAAATAATGGGTAGCTGCCAGAATTCATATACTGTAAAACTAAGAAATGCTGAACTCACAGAAGAAGTGCAGTAGTATATATTTAACACCAACACATTTCATTTTCCTGGAGTACTGATGTAGTCCCAAATCCTGTAGAACTGCTGAGCAAGAAAGTGGGTAGACCAATACATTCAGCACAATGTCAATACTAATACAGCCCAACAGTGATATGAATGCACTCTGATGGAGACATGACGTGGCACAGAGGACACAGGATCAGAGCTATTATTTCTATTTAGAACCTACCCAGGCAGTTCACTAACAATATTCTACCAGTGGAACCTACTTCACTCAGCATTTTTCTCATGTAATCAGAATTCATCCATGTTCCACTTAGAGCTAGAGAAGCAGCTTAGGAGCAATCCTAGCCCACTAAAGTCAGAAGCAGGTTTGTTATCAGCAGAACTGAGATGAAATTACTGCCCACTTGTCAGACAAGCAATATAAGAACACATTTGGCCCTTACCTAATAACACTCAGATCATTCAGTCTGGACATTGCTGAAAGTTTTAGCATTTAAGGACAACTGGGTTTTACTTACTTATGCATTAATTTACTATAGACTTTTCTGAGCACATTAACTATGTCTGTAAGCTATTAAAATCTGGGATCATGTGGATCTCTTCTGGAAATTATATTTACCTAAGGTGGGCCTCATCAAAACAGAAAACAGTCAAGAGGGACCTTCACCATGCTTTGAGTGAGGTAATCAGTTTTCTTATGAGATGATAGAGCCGTTACAGATCTAGGCAGCCACCACAAATAGATGGGAGACTGCATACAGGAATAAAGGTTTGCTGTGCAGACCTCACAGTCATGACCTCTGCTGACTGATCTCCAGTCTATGAAAATTATGTTACATAGTGCTTATATATCCTCAGAGTATATTTGGGAGGGGAAAAAAAAAAAAAAAAAGGCAGTTTACCAAACCTCCCCTCTTCCTCTCCCAGGAATTTATTAAGAATACAATCCAAACTTGTATGAAATGCAACGTAATGGCATTAGCTCAGAACAAGATAAAATCCAATACAGAAATAAGTCATTGTGAAAAACATCCCCAAGCAAGAATCTCAAAAACAAACAATGCATGGGAAGTCTATAAACACAAAAATGTTTTAAGGTATCTCAGTAGCTTTGAGGTGACAGCTGTTAATCAAACAGCTGAGAGTGCAACAAGTTTTCATTGGATCCTGACAAAGATTCAGTCTCTTGCAAGGATAGTAAGTCTATACTGTAAAGAGAACGGACACCTTTCCTTTCTCAGCTTTTCCAAATTTCATCAGCCTGCTTGACCATACACCAAATATGCCACAGTCAGATTGCAGAAGTGCAGATAATAGAATCATGATGTTCTTTCTCACAGTTAACTAAACCCAGCTGTCAGTTCAGATTAATAATATTTAATAAATATTTTTATATATGTGAGATAGAGTTTCTGCATGCTGGAGTTTAGGGATGAAGTTTCAGAATTGGATATAGAATGATCATAATCTTCCTCTTCCTTACTTTTCAGGAGCGCTGAATATCCACTGGTATATCTTATCTGGAAGCAATTGACTTCTCTTCTAAAATCCTCAAGCTACCCCAGAAATTCCCAACAAAAGAGGCAGGCTTCACTTGTCTGACACAAGCACGTGTCAAATGAGGTGTGGAGCTAAGCACAATCCATGCAGGCTCTGCAATGTGCCAGCACGGGTACTTTGGCACAAAGCTTCTAAAACTGGAGCCTGAGAATGCATCAGGTGCCACCCACTCAGACGGGAGCAGCTGGACCCTGTGATGAAGGGAGTATTGCCAGTTTTCTGAAGTATAGCTTATACACATTGCCTGAGAGCAATAGCCCCAGGCTGTATTGAAACTAATATTCAGAGTGGAATAATATCTTAGAAGTCTCAGATGTATGCTTTTTTGGCCATACATTTATTTTCAAATGCCCACGGGGACTGCAAGTGGTACAGACCCAGAAAAAATAAAGTATGAAGATCCCAAGATATAAGGGAGACAAAAATGATTGCTCTACGGACATTGTTCCAGTAAATAAATCTATAATGCATTACCATGTGGCAATTTACTGCTGGGCAGCTGCATCAAAAAATACTCAGTACCATCAGGGCTTTCTACTGAACAACCCCAAATCAATCTACTTATGCAGCATAGACTGGAAAAGTTTGGCATTTGACTCCTGTTGCCTTGTATTCAAACCTATTTGCTAAATAATAGGGCAGACGTCTTAATTATGTAGGTCTGTTTTTCCGTAACAAAAGGGGTTTGGTTTTGGGTTGTTTGAGGGTTTTTATTGGGGGGGGTGTGAATCTGTGCAACTCCATTAAAGGTCATGAAATCACACCAGTTGAAGATGTGCCCTGCATTGGCAACCACTGACTATAAATGAAGCCTAGAAATGGAGTAACTCTGTGCTAACAAGGCAATTAGCCTACTTTAGGCTGCTTCTTTTGGCAATTTCACTACTGGTCTTCTGAAGCCAGGTGTTTTTTATCCACAGCATGTATAACTTCACATCCCACTGAGAGGGATGAGATTATCTGAGTGTAAAGAACAATATGAGGGCAACTGCTGCAACCTAGTACAGATGGATAATGATGGGGTACCATGCTCAGTAAAATTTATCTTACAGGGAATGGCAAAGTAGTGTTAGCAATCTGCTAATATTTAGGTCTCAAAAGATTCATTTAAACCGCAAAGACAGGAATTTGTATTTTATGTACAAACTGGGTTTATCCTCTTCCTATCTACATTATTTAACACACCATTTAATATATATTCTCATGTCAGTGAATAAGAAAAGTAAATATGACAGCTGACCAGATATGCACTGGATTTTTTATTACTTTTATCTTAGCTTCCCAAGCTTATCAAAAAGATATATGTATCTCAAGTATTTGATATTTTATAACTTTTACATAATACTGATACTCTCACAAATCCCTCTGACGTCTATATACATGTAACTAATGAAAAACTACAGCAAAGGAAATTAAGTATTCGTGAGAGCTAACACATAAAACTTAACCTGAGAAACAAATTGAATTATTTTTAAAATAAAAGTCCGAAATACTGTTCAAAATCTGTTCTGTCATTTGCTCTGAAATACAAACCTCAAATGACAGAATATGCAGAGCTTGTTTTGTACATAGTTTTTGCCCATTAACAACTCTACTCCCAACTAAGTAGCACTGGGGCCATGCTTGCCCCCAGTTCTGCAGCATGCACTCTACCAGTATATAGCCAAGTACAATTTTAGACATAGTGTCTATGTCTCATTAACAGGACTTGAAGAACAGGGAGCAATGTGACACACTTTCAGATTTAAAGAACAAAGACTAAACTTTCTACTGAGAGGATATTTCTCATAAAAGATGCCCTGATCCTTGTCTTATAAAAAGGTTTTATTTCTCAATAGAAAAGTATATCTTAAAACACAATTATTTGATAAAAGCAATATAAAACTCTCCCGTTTTAATTTCATAAAAGTTTAACAAAACATAAATACTTTTTACCACTTATATTCCTATATACAGACCTTGCATTAACTATTTAAATAGTCAGAGAGATAATAACAAATCAGAAATAAATGGTACACAACTACAAGATTTGAATTCCATGTCACACTGCACAATCACAGTAAAACAAGGAGCAGCTTAAAATCTTCAGTCACTGGATTCTGCTTTGTTCTCTTTACAGCTATGTTCCTCTTCTTTCTGCAATAATGCACCAGTTTCCATGGTCATAGCAGGAAGAAAGTATCTGAAGCTCAGGCACGTTCTCTTCTATCAGAGAACACAGCTCCCCTTCCCGAAAAACATGGTAATAACGCATGAAGGCTTTTGTATCCAACATGGCATCAGTTTGGTCCCCAAGAGACACTACTGAATCCAAAGCCGAGTCAGTGGAGTCAGTTGTTGAAGTTCTTTTGAAAAACTTATTGGCATCAGACCTACCAGCACCATCTTTATTACAACCACAGCTGCATTCCCTGTCTTCCACTGGGCCATTTTTAACTGAAGCTTTGTCATCCTTGCTCTGAGCTACATTTTGGTGTCCTCCATTTAAACTTAAATCCTTCAGTGCATCTGTGGCTGGTGACCACTGTGGTTTTTTGAGAGACAGGTTTTCCACGAACACATCATCATCATCTAAACTTTGTTCTTTTAACAGTGCCCTGTGGGGACCTAAATCCAAACTGCAGTGTCGCGAATGCTGAATGGGTACAGTACTGTTTGCCCATACCCCTTCATGTTTCAGGTCAGTACTGTTTGCCCATACTCCTTCCTGTTTCAGGTGCTTCATTTTATCACTTTGCTTTCTCAGGGCTGATTCGTCAAGGGATCTGGAGAAAAACCATGAGCGGAAAGATCTTCCCAGAGCACTGTAAAACCTGTTTTCTTCTTCAGAAATTTTCATGCAGCACGCTCTGGGTAAGCAATGGCCCATACTGTGGGAATGTTTTGAATCAGTTTCTGGATGCAAATTGGTTTGGTAGCTGCACTCAGAGATGACGAGCTGTGCAGGGTGTATGTCTTGGCCTTTTGCAGTATGCACAAACTCACCCTTATCTCCGGGTTGATTTGATTCTGAAAAATGGCGTGAGCACAAGGCCTTATTCCATGGAACAAATACGTCTTGTTTCTCAAAGTGACGATTCTTTTGTTCCATAGCCCAAACATAAATCATTATCTGGCCTCCAGGTATCAATACCCTTGCCATTTCCTTTATTGCTTTGATTCTTCTTTGTTTAGTTGAGAAATGATGTATCACTATGAAAAAAAGAAATGTACTGAATATCAGTAAGGACAGGGCATTTTCATCTTCAACCTGTTCTACATGCTTAATCATTTTAGCACCTCATTCCAAACATCACTTGCTGCAAGTCAGCAAGTCAGTTGAATTTATTGGTACCACAATGCAAGTTTACCCCAGAATGCTCTCTTTTACGATTATGTTCAATGGATAAAAATAGGAAAATCCCAAAGAAGGAAATTAATCTCATCCCCCAAAAAGGATTCAAGAAAACTCAGGCACATAAGCTGGAGGTTTGTGTTTCTCTGCATCTATTAAAGGTCATAACATGACTAGCTTTCGCTTAAATGCCTGGCCTTTAGGTGAGTTAGGTAGTATCAAGGTTGACTTTAGTTTCTGGCACACTTTTCAGATTTATCTTACTTACCTTTCTTACCTTGAAAATAGAAAAAACTTTTTGCCACATAATAAATACAGCAAAATATAATATCAGTAAAAAGAAACTCTGTTTTTTTATATCAGCACACTTTCAAAGAGCTGGGGAGAAAATTAGGACAAATATTTCCACTGTTTCAATTTTGTAAAATTAAGTTTCATTTTTGTAAAAAAGAATGTCTACATTGCATGTCTGAGCATGATGATTTTTTTACATTATGGTATGCTATTAAAAATAAAAAGTCAAATTCAAAATAAAACTATTGATCACTATATTTGGATTTTCTTTCCAGGATAATTTCCACATTTTCAAGTTTCACTCTAATGTGAAACAAAGCTATATTTCAAGATTTCTACATTGTTTCTATCTTCCTATTCACCTGGAATAGGAAGGAGCCATTTTTAACAGTCAGAGAATAGCTAAGACAACTATTTTCTCTCTAAAGACAGTTATTTTCTCTCTAAACTCTCAGAAGCATTAATTTGTACTGCACTTGGACACATTGGTCATGTTGTTCTATATGTCATCAGTACTAGATTTGATTCAATCAATGATGTAAAGAGGACTGATTCCATAGTTTGTTTCAAGTAGAGTTGGAGCCAGACACTTTTACATGCAAAAAATTCAACCTACCCATGTAACAGCATATAATAATAGTATATGTTCTTAGCTGAAGACATCTCTATACATTCAGAAAATTTAGATTATCTTTATATGTGCTGCTTGACAGTAGCCAATTCTACTGGTAGATATAGTGTTATTTCAACACTGCAGTTATGAACAGTGCATCCAACTAGCCCTGTCTTTATTCAAAACTGGTTAAATTACCAAGGGGAAAAAAAGTAGTTTTATTACCACAAGCCAAGAAAAGCAATCTTGGCAGTTGATATTAACTAGGCTCTCACAAGCTGCTGAGAACACCAAACAGGCAGCTCTGAGAAGGGTTCCCTGTGTATGTGGTCAGTGTTTGTTTCCAGGTACTCCTGACTCTGGTCATATTTTTCTCGAACTTTGGAAAAAAAAAAAAAGCTTAAAAAATTCAATTGCTTGCACAGTGTGGGGAGAAAGAAACTGATCTGTTCTCTCATACTGAAGTTAGGCCATATATCACCACAGATCCTCCTGCAAAATTTTATCAAAACTGACGGAGACAGCATAAGCATGCAAGCTCAGTTTACAAGAAAGAGGTGCCAATCAACAAACAGAATCTGTGCAAGCTCTCTCTGAGCAATTTATTTAATGGTTTAAATATTCTTCCTGGTTAAAATTATAGAATCACTTTGAGGGTTTTGCAAAAAAATAAATCCTATAAACATTATTATACCAGCAAAGACAAGAAGTGTACTTGAGTACATACATAAATACTTGTTTTTCTCTGTAATGGGATGAAAACCACTTTATTTAGAATTAGGTGGACACAGGCATACCATGCCTCTGTTCAAGAGGGGTTAAAATCCATTATTGTTAAAGGCACTGAGATAGCATGTGAACTTTTAAACTTGTCAGGTTTATAATTGATATAAACACTAGATAGGTATGTTATCCTTCAAAGTCAGCTGATCTGATAGCCCTGAAAATATGCTGCAAGACCTAAAATGTCAGTAGGGCTCACTGGTTAACTAGCCAACATGAAAGCATAGTAATATCACTACTGCTTGCATATTAGTCACTGTTCCTTTCCACCTGCATATGTGAAAAATACATTTTAAAATACATTTCTATCACATTTCAAATAGTTTGTTGATTGTTATCAATAATAATTATCATTCCTTATATTTTCGCTGATACACTGAAAAACCCTGAAAGAAGTTCAAACAAGGGTAGAGCTAAAAATGCAGACTGTAACTGGACACCCCACTTTTCATCTACACTTTGCAATTTATACTTCTCAAACTATGAGTAATATTTTCAAAAAGAGAGGCCAGACTGGTTAAGATGTTGAGATGCTTCGCTTATTTAAGACAACAGTGCTTGTACAGCTCTAAGCTCTTATTTCATGACTAAGAGAAATCTGAATTCATAACACATATTAGTTAACATGAGTTTCGAGTTCTGCTATAGAGAAAGCTTTCGTTTCAATGTATTTGCTGATCAAAACAGATCCTATGGAGGAACCAAGAGTTTATCCTGACCACCTAATCTGTTTAAACTGCAAGCAACCTTGTTTATATTAGTTTTCACTTGTTTAAAATGCATGCTGGAAGGAAATCTTTTCTCCACCGGGTGAGCAAAACCACATATAAACAAACAAATGATCCACATATTTCCTTGGTCAACAGAGCCTCTATGTAATGGAATTTTTTTTTCGTGTTTACTACGTTCATTTCAGTTATATCTGCTGTGATTCTAAAAGAACTGTTTCAAAACAATTAACTGAAATGAAGCCACATGGAAAGAAAAGAACCCTCAGAATTTCTCATTTGCTGTGGGCCAGGATGCATGTACGTTGTCTTACCTCCAATGGAAATGACTGCATTGAAGCACTGGTCCCTAAAGGGAAGGTTAAGGTTGTCGCACACCAGAACTTCATCATCTTTCTTCCTTGCAATCTCTACCAGTGCCTCACAGTAATCACAGCCGAGATTATACACTTGACTGTTGACACTGAGATACTTTCCAGTTCCACAGCCTAAAAAAAAGAATACTAGATCAGAAGTCCTATATTCCAAACATTTGCTATTCCTCCCAAAGCAGGGAAAATAATGTGAGGGCTTTCCTCACATCCTAAAGTTTCCTGGAAAACAAAATGAGGGCTTGTGCCTACTAGCCTAACTGCTGCAGAGTTCATTTGGAGTGTTTGAAGTTATATGTTCACACCATTAGGATTGTAACAGTACCAACATCACCAATAAAAATACTCATTGCAGAGCCCTGTATAATAGCAGGCTCTATGTACTTCTGTGGGGAATTAAGGATAAGTTCAGGTGGGAGAAGGAAGCAGTGGTCCTCTGTGGCCACTACTGCACATCTTAGAGTAAAAAACCAACTATGTTGTTTCACACTGAGCCTTTATATAGCCTGGTATCCTGCTTCCAACAAAGAGCATAAATGGGCGCCCAGGAGAGTGTAAGAAAAAGGTAAGCATTATGGCCCTTTTCCTCAATACCCTTCCAGCTTCCAGCTACTTTCTGTTCAGGGGATTTCCTGAAGCCAGCGTGTTTTGTTTTCTTAGTGACCTGCAATAGATCTCTTTTCCAAGTCCTTCCCTAGTCTTTGCTAAACCTCATGAAGTACATCTCCAGTGCATGTGGTTTCTCTCCAAGAAGTCCTAAACCACAGATGCCACTGACACAAGTCAGAAAGGAAAATTTTAAATTCAGATGTAGACTTGAAAAATAACTGTAAATCATAAAAATTCCTGCCATGTTGCAGACACATCCTCTTTCTGTCTTTGTGCCAATGCATTATAACCCATGCAAATGTAATGAGCTGTTCTAGAACGTCTTCCACATAAAAGTCTGTCTTCTCAAGGACTGTGCTGTACTTAAATTGAAATCTTGCAGAGTGTTCTTCAGTGTTGTATGCATAACAGGCACTTTTCAAAATCGTATTAGGAATCATTCACTGCAGTTCTAGGTCAGTAGTGAAGGATAATTTCTGAAAGCTGACAGCCAAGCAACGGGGTAGCAGCCTGGCAAAGAGAATCATCTCAGTATTGGAAATTCAGTTTAAAGGCCTGGAGTTATCTTTAGAAACATCACTGCTTCTTGCAGCATTGCTGTTCTCAGTGATGTTAATGTGCACCATTATCTAGAGAGACAGCACAGGAGCTGTTGCGGAACAGAACAACACTTTAGTGGTGAAAAAGAGCATATTTCTAAGCTAAAAGCAAGTGCTATTCTTTGAAGTAACTTTTGAGATAAATGGAAAACATTAATATTGCTTAATGCAGTTCAAGAAATATACACAATAAAACATGAAGCTTGGCATGTTAGTTAAAAAACTTAGTTATGAAATTTTGTATAAAGTATTATTCATTATCATGTTTGCTCAGGAACATATTTATTCAACCATACATTAATTTAGAAGATTCAGTTGCTTAATACGTGGCTTCTGGTAAAGTGCTTTTTAATCATGGGGAGTTTTCAGAAGTGGAGGGTCCTCCCTGGAATGAAGCTAAATAGTCTTAATAATCCCAGTATTCTAAAAACCTGCATTTACCAGAGATTCACTTATGAATGAATTATCAGGAGGGTGAATTCCTTCACGAAACTAACAATGGCCAAGCTATTGTCATGACTTTGCTGAACGAAAATTTATAAGGCAATTAGACAAAATGATATTTTAATAAAAGGTGCTATTAAACTGAAAAGGAAATTATCAATTTAAGATCTCAGTTTTAAAATTTTAGTGCCACTAGGCACTAGTGCCTCTTTAGTGCCACTCCTCCCTAAATAGATACCAAAAATAAACACAATAGTCAGATTCCTGTAGATCTTAATAAACCTCATAAAAGGAGATACCTTGTGTGCCTTAATGGGAATATTCTTATTGGCAACTATAAGCACCTGCCTTCTCTGCAGATGAGACTGTTAACAGGGTGACCTTAAGCTTTCAGCAGTCATTGATGATAAAGCCTCAAAGAACTTCAGCTAAGCTTCAAATGATTTCTATTGAGGTGACAACAATTCTGGTTGAGAAATAGCAGTTTAGGGTGACTGTTGAATGAGTGTATGTCATAAGAATATTTCCTGAGATTATTGGTGAAAATGGTGCAGACATATAAAAATAGCTACAGCAGCAGAACTACATATTACCTATTGATTATGGCCTAAAGCTTATTCCAATAATGTTTTTCTCTGCTAGGATAAGACAGATACATATTTTATTGTGTACATTTGTTAAACCTTGCTGTGTAAAAGCATTTTATTAGTTTAAACATTGAGGAAAATACAATGGGGCAAAAGAGCATCTGTTTTGCAGTGATGTGCTGTATAGCACCAAAGTCATAACACAAGGAAAGGAAACACTCCAGCATCTGGAAAACCTAAAAAGTCCCTAGAAGGAACATAAAATCAAGCTATAAAAATCAAACATGTAGGGAAGACAACGCCATAGAAGGAAATCATAGTTTTGGTGTCTGTATTTAGGATCATAGGGAGATTCTCAGATTATAACTATTTTTAATATTTTAGATAGCATTCACATCAGAAGACTTCTCTTAATATAAAGCCTTGATAGGAGGAGCTTTAGAACAAATGAACAGCAATAAATTGCAGACCAGTAGTACATAAACCAAGAGATCTAAAGAAACTGAAATATGAAATAATTAGCTATTAACATAATTTTTTGAAGAGTTCCAGGGGAATGACAGACCATTAAGCCTATGGGGAAACTGATAGATTAAGGCTTAGCTCAACAAAATAAGGGAAAAAATTATTAACTGTCTACCTGATACACTGCCAGAGAATTAAAACAAGTGGTATACGGCATCTAGTAGGGGTTTAAAAACAATTTAAAACCAAATTTAAATAAGTTTTAAAAGCAGTTATCTGAAGGTTACATATGATTAACATACAAACAAATAAATCTTACAAGCAATCTTTCATGCCATCTGAAAGAACATCTTACCAATATCAACAACAAGACTGCCAGGCTTTTGTTCCAGCAGGAAGTTCCGAACACGAGGCCATGCTTTGCTCTGCAGATCACTAAAGTAGGCAGCTGTATTTTCATACACACTGTGCACGTGCTGCTTTTCTAGCTGGGTAGCCTCATGTTCCATCCTGAAAACAGAATGAAGATTATAAAATGTAAAGTGTTGCAGTGTAGATTTTACATTTTATAAGCATGCATAATTCAGGACCTTGTAAGTTTACATTCATAAAATCATTACATCCATCTAACAGCCATATTTATAAAATAGTCTGTACTCAAAGGATATGATTTTATTTCATGGAAGTCAAGAAAAAATGCGAATGTATCATCTTGCCTGAGCATGATATAACTGCACATGCCTATTAAATCATATGCACATTCCCAAGTTCATCAAAAGCTTATTTGGCACAAAACAGAGTCTGTATTCAGCAGAAGTACAGACTGATTCTAGAATCACAGAATCATTTGGTAGGAAAGACCTTTATGATCATCAGTCCAACCAATTAGGAACAGGATGCTACAAACCAACTTTTCAATTGTTGCTAATGTGAGTAGGTTGGCAAACTATAAGTGTGTTACTGAAATATAGCCTGGTCCCTGAAACCAAAGCCCCCAAATCACACATAAATTATCTGTGGTTTATCAACCCTCTAGAAGTGACAAATTGGCTAAAATTTTTCAGCAACAAAACCATGATTTTCCTACTCCCACTCCACCATCTTAATTCCTTAGCAAAGCACTTTATTTTAGTGATTCATTTGAAAAGTAGTATCTTCTTAAATGTTTAATATTACTTCTAAGCTCATATAAAACAAGTAGATGCAGATACTGAATCCCTTCATACCGAATCTTACACCTTCCTTAATATATCCCCTCATTCAAGTACCAACCAGGTCAGGCTTTAATATCTGATGGAGGCTGACGGGATTACATTTCAAAGTGTTAAGACATTCTTTAAACTAATTCAAACTGCCTGTTTATTTGGGAAATATTCCTTCTCATTATTAAAATAGGACTTATACAACTGTCCAACTACTCAACAGAGATTAAAGCCTGTTTGCAAATTTCTTGCAAGAAACTAAGCAATATATTATCAAGATGAAATTATACAAGTGATTCCTTTGACTTCATTTGAAAATGTCAAAAGCAAAGACTTTATTGTGCTTTCCTTGATGTTAAAATAATAAAGATTTTGGAATCACAATAAAAAGGTTTCTGTCTCTTTTACTATTGAAATATATTATTATGATAAAATAGATGAGAATATATCAGAAAAGATGAGTTATGTAAGAAAAAAATAATTATTTAAAAAATATAATAAATAATGTGAGTTCCTCAAAACACCTGTCCTACAAACATTATCTTTTTAATTTTAAAACTGGGAATTAATCTCAGTGACTGAAAAACCAATTAACATACTTCAAATTAAGTGTGTGAATGCTAACAGAATAGTATATAAGAATAGTACATAAGACTTGATCCATTGCACTAGTTTTATATACTCTGCTATGTAAGAGGTTGGGCCAAATTTTTTACAATTGTCACAGTCTACTCTGACTCTAGTATCTATGAATATCTCTTTTCAGAACATTTATGTTCAATATTTTCACAATCCTTTCTTTTTTTCTCCACAATCCACAATTTTCTTTTATGATGCACTAGTTCAGCTTTTACTAAGTGAATATACATAAAAATTAAATTCAGTAAGAGCACAGTACATTCCTAATAGGCACATTCTCAGTGTCACTGAAAACTGTAAAACTGGAACAGACTGAACACCAGAGGTAGACAGGATTGCAACACAGACTTCAAATGATATTACATGTGCCAGAAGTTACTCAATCAGAACTTTTTCCAGAATGCCATTTCAAGTCATGTGGTCAAATAGAACGGGTTAGTTGCAGTGATTTCAAATAAGTATTTCTTACAGTCAAAAGCCCACTTATTTTTTTCTTATTTGACCCTTAAGTAAAACAAATTGAGTGTTTCATGTCTCCAGCTATCTTTCTTATCTGCCTCAAAATATACTCTATTTTGCTGTTCAACTGCCTAGGAATCCTCCATTTACAAGTAGTAATTCCAAAGACTAATAATAATTTCTTTTCCTTTGTCGTCTGATAAGCTCCTTGCTCTAGTTTATATTTCATGTTTAGTTACTATGCGGTTCAATGCATCTGAGCGCTTTCTTTCATCTTTCCGCTTGAAGCTCTTTGTTCAATCTTTGCAATTCTTAAAAAAAAAAACAGAAGAAGGAGAATGTTTTCAACCATTCATACTGAATTCCAAATGCTGTCTGAACTGAAGGTTAATATGAATATTTTAAATAAACACAAAAGCCAACTTAGACTTGACTTAGAAGATGGTAGGAATTTTCCTACCGATACAATATTATGTTATACTTTTCCTAAAATGTCTTCATTGAATTTCAATGCAGGCTGAAGTCTGGCTTAGTTTCCTATTGAATCACAAGACTATTGAGTTTAACTTTCTCATTCATTGGGACTGGCACTGAGTCTTCTGCTACAATGAGTATGCTGGAGACTTCCACCTATTACAACACTGTAGAAGAGGCTATTTTTAGATATACTTAATAAATATTGCCAAGAAAATAATTTGGCTATAATCTTAGAATACCAGTAATGTACTAAAATACAAATAATTTCATGCGCCATTTTGTAACATTTTCCATTCCTGATGATGGTTTATATTTTGCAGTTAATCAAGACACAATTAGACTTGCCAATTTGACTTTCATAACACTATCAGGTTTTACTTTACAGCACGGCAGGGAAATATCCTAGCAATTAACCTCTTCATTTCAATGTTTACAGAAGGCAAGAAACCTGTGTCGTCTGCCCAGACCTGCAGCTGTACCACTTTCACACAACTCTACTGTCACCAAAAACCCCCAGAAACTTAGACCTGTGTAACTTAACAAACCAATCTCAATGCTTCTATTTCTTTTTCTAAACAAAAACAACCATTACAAATTCTTTGCCTTGAAAGTAGCAGACAGTGCCCCTGTTGTACATAAATAATAGAAAATGCTCATTTCATCCAACTTCTGGATTATAACTTCTAGGATAATTAGAAAGCCTGTTTTGCAAAGTAGGTAATGAAAATGCAAGCTACCCAGAAATCCCACTGCTTCAGCATCTGCTCCAGTTCTCATTTAAGCTACCCAAGAAGCCGTTTGGTAAGACCAGCAAAGAGGAGCAGAAGATGGTAGTTATGGGCGCACTTTCCCCATGCTCAATTCTTCTCTTGTGCTTATGCTCCTGTCAAAGAGCTCACACAGAGACTTGGAGCAGAGTAGGGAGTGTGCAGTAAATTGGCACCCAGCTGTTCAGTCACTGCAGCAAGCCTTGCCAAGTCCCCAAAACATGAATGCAGCTCAACAAATGCCAGCCTCTGCAAAGAAGGAGTTTGAAAAAAAAATTGAAGAGCAGCATTCTCTTCCCTTTCAGTGCTTCCTGGTTATCATGATTTGTTCAAGAGACTACAACAGGCCCTTGTTGCAGCTAATCTATTAAATGAGAAAACTGGATGAAAACTGAAGTGTCATTTCCACTGAATTTGCAGGGAAATGGATCACCAGTCCATCACATGTAACTGTGCCACATGAACAAACTGTTTGAAAGTAAATAGGTTATAGTCCATTCACTCTTTCCTACACTGTTGTTTTCCCTCTTTAAAAAAAAAAAAAGAAAAAAGAAAAAAAAAAAAGTAAAATAAAATATAAACTGAAATATTATGGCTTTCCAGGAGGTAAAAGAAATTGTACAAACATGACATAGATTTTCATAGCTACATATCTCTCTGAAAGTTCTCCGACTCTAAGGTAATCTAATTTCTTCCTTTTCCATTAACATTTTGTAACCTTTAAGGTAACTAACTTTTCAAGGATATTGCTTTAATAAAAGTCATGTTCATTGGATATTTTCTATCACTGCCAAAATAAGAAATACATTTAAGCAAGTGACCTTGAAAAGAAAACAACCAAAATTAACAATCCCCCATTTCCAACATTTTTGAAAAATCAGGTTTGGTTTTCTGGGGTTTTTTGCGGGGAGGGAAAGTGTGTTCAGACTTTTTTTGTTGTTTTTGAAAGTGTCTAATTTACAATTTTCACTTATTGTATTAAATAGTTTATCCTCAAGAGGACAAATTATTGTTGGCTCCCAGATGCCAGGGGTGCCCTGACACTGAAGAGCAGGAGGCAGAGTTCAGTCCAAAATCTCTGCCTCTACCACAGCCTACCTCTGCAGTTCTGAATCCCTTACAGTCCTCCTCATTTACCTCAAAGTATCCCCTCCCAGTTACCCATGATTTTTATCTTCCATCTTCTTTTCATCTTTTCCATCTTTCTCCATCTACTTCATCATGTGCTATGTCAGCACCACTATTTTAATTTGATGTTTAATCCTGTGAAATCTTGACCTGGCTCATGTTCAGTTCCTCCTTGCCTCTATTTCCAGGCCAAATGCAATACCTGGAATATGTTGCAAAGGTTTTGTCAATGGCCTCTTGGAAGCACCCTGTGATTTTCAGAGTAGTCATCAAATCTTGCATTGCTTCTATTTGTCTCGAAATCAATTGCTCTTGATTAATTTGAGCCACAGGTTTTCCTTATCTTCCTTCTTGTAACTGCCTATTTTCTCTAACCCTTTGATGAGCAGCAGGATTTCACTCAACTCAGTGAGAGAGTCAGATGTACAAGACTTCAGCCTATTAACGAGGGCCCCTCTTAGTTACACTCTTCACACACTGACGGGAATTCTTAGTATCATTCTGGATAAGGACTCCTGCTTTAAAGATCTAGGAAATTCAGCACAGTTGTGTCTCTGTTGCCATAGCAACATAAATCTTGATTACACATGCAACTCCAGCTATGGATGCAATAACCTAATTAATCGCTGGCCTTAAATCAAACTATAAACCACAAGGGCCAAGTCTACATCAATACCCTGCTCTCAGCAATAACATGTGCACCTGTACCATGTACACCTAAGTAAAAGGTAAGGCAGTCCGATTTGCCTTCTCTCCCTTCATCTACAGAACAGGGAGAACTACCTATGCAGTGAGAAATGCTTCCAGTTTACTTTCCAGACTTACCAGTCTTTTCATT